GACAAGATGGCACAAACGGAAGTCCTTCGCAGGTTTATGGTTTCTCATATTTAAATCATCATAACTCTGAAGATGATCATTTTTTTAAATTTAGTTTTTCAAATTTATAATCAATATACATAACTTGATAAATACAAACACCAAAATAGGCTCTGTTTAGTTCCCCTTTAAGTGCACGTCCACCGCTGATGTTTACTACTAGATGTAGTACGTCGCAGACTGATATTTACTGCGTTACGTGGTACGCCCTCCACTGGTCTTCACACCGTCTTCATTGCTCTGTGGATACCTTTCTTCGCCGATGCTTACTTCATTGCGTGGTAAGTGCAGCGCCGATGTGTACTGCGTTGTGTGGTACGATGTGTACCGGTGTTCACGTTGTGGCGTTGTACGCCCTTCAACGATGTTTACTGCGCTACGTCCTGCAACGATGCTTACTGCGTTACGTTGCACGTCCTCTATTGCTGTTTACTACTAGAGGTTACGTAGCTCATCGTCCACTTATATTTACTGCGTTACGTCCCGCACTGGTCCTTACCGCTCTGTGGGGATACTGTCTTCCGCCGATGTTTACTCCCTGATACTTCCTACGCCCATGTTTGCTTTGTCTCGTGTACCAGCACACTTATTTACTGAATTACGTGCCGATGTTGACTGCATGTCGTGGTACGTCCTGTATCGGTGTTTACTGCACTGCGTGACACGTCTTGCACCGATGTTTACGGTGTTACGTTCTGTACCGATATATGCTGCGTTACGTTGTACTTTGTCCACTGGTCTTCACTGCTTTGCGGGGGGGGGGTGTATTATATGGCTCCGATGTTTACTGTTGTGCGCTACGTCCTGTAGCGATTTTTACCGCGTTACGTTTTACGTGCAGCATCAATATTTACTGCGTTACGTTACACGGTCTCCACTGATGTTGACTACCATACATACGTAGCACATCATGCAGTTATGTTTACTGTGTTACGTGGTACGTCCTGCATTGGTCCCCACTGCTATGCGGAGTTTACTCACGTGGTAAATCCTACGCTGATGTTTGCTGCGTTCCAGAGTACCATCCATCCATGCAGCACACATGTTTAATGCGCTGCGTGACACGCCCTGTACCGATGTTTACTGTGCGCAGCACCCATGTATCGCGTTATGTTGCACGCCCTCACTGTTGTAGGCTGCACTGCTTTTCGCGGCATCATGTTTGTCAATATTGACTGAAATGTTTTGCGTGACACCATTTTAAGCCAAAGATTTATGTGTTGAGACTGAGTGGTACTCGTTTTTGAAATCGATTACAGCATTATAACTTTAGTGTAACGCTAATCGCGTAGTAAATAAGTTATGCAATAATATCCCGGATAATTACGTCGGAAAAATACAGTTCAAAACCAACACAACCAATATTATTGCCAAAACTGTCGACCTTTGCTCTTATGTGACAACGTAGAGATTATGAGGTTTTTTTACAAGCAAATGAATTCGATGTAAGACTAATTTAACATTTTCTTGTCGTGAGGGTGACACTGAAAGTAACGTTTTTTCACATTTGAATATATATTAATAAAATAACATCTGTGTTGCATTGTGTGGCACCTTCCAATGCCAATGTTGGCTGCTTTTAGGGGTACCATCCTGTATCAATGTTTTCTGTCTTGAGGGGTACCATCCTTTATCGATGTTTACTGTGCTGAGTTACGATGTACTGTAACTGCCATGTCCCATAGTTTCATGCGCTGTGTCTTCGGCGGAGACTCCGCAAACCTATATCAATTCAAAACCACAAAATACAGAAAGAATGAGATGAAAAGATATTTTATAGCCACGTATAGTAGACATACGTATTTATTTTTTCATTAAATCCATCTTTAATTTTACAGGCACTTGGGAATCACGAGTTTGATAACGGTATTGATGACTTAGTCCCATTCCTCGAATCTGATACTCCGGTATTCCCTGTATTGAGTAGCAATATCGATGCCGTTGACGAACCAAGTGTCCAAGGCTTTATACAGAATTCCACCATCATAACACTCACCAATGGTGAACAGATTGGCATTGTGGGATATACCACAAAGGACACACCGAATCTGTCAAAACCAGGTAAGGCATTGTAATAAAAACTAATTGTCAGTGTTTTATGGAAAGTGGGCGTAAGAGGGCGCCGCCCAGGTCTACCTGAATGTAAGTTATTGATTTAGTTAGACGCTGTATTCTATTTTGTAGTGTTAAGCAGTAACTAAGGAATACTGTTTTTTTTTCTGTTATCATTTAGGTAATCTAATATTCAATCCTGAAGTTGAATCAATCCGCGCCGAAGTAGAACGTTTGAAGACTCAAGGAGTTAATAAAATTATTGTACTTGGACATGGTGGAGTAAACAAAGATATGGACATTGCCGGTATGGTTGACGGAGTCGATGTTGTAATTGGTGGTCATACCAATACATTCTTATATACAGGTATTTTAATTTCGTCTCGATCTCATTACACTTATATTTTTGTTCACCCCTGGCTTAATGGCAACTCTCAACATCTGTGTATGCATTTACAAATAAGCTGTCCCATCTAGTATATGCACTACATTTGTGCAGTAACGAGAAATACAACTGTAATAATCACCACATAGAATTGAATTGACAAGTAGAAAACAATAATTTCACAAAAAAAGCCGATGGAAATAAACAAAAAATAACATTAATAGGTGGAAACCACTGGAAAAACGCCCAATTTCAAACAATTAACAGAACACGACCTTGGAAAAAAGTGAACTTACTAGTACATGTTTTAAAATATCCAACGCTTGAAATAGCGCCCTCTAGTAACAGCAACACAATCTCTCTCGACTTGGGACTTGAGAAACAACACTGTTACCTTGTCATGGAATGGTTGAACAATGTCACGTGATAGTAGTCAATAAGCAATTAAAACCATTAAGAAAATTTATCCAAGAAAGCATGCATAATGTTCCATTATATTTAATTTTTTACCTAGGTGAGCCTCCTTCGAATGAGGATCCATATGACACCTATCCAATAGCCATACACCCAGGCGATGACGTCACACGTAATGTACTAGTTGTGCAAGATTACGCATATGGCAAGTATTTAGGTTATCTACAAGTGACCTTTGACACCGATGGTGAAGTCATCGAATGGAGTGGAAACCCAATTCTGTTGGACAAAACTGTTGAACAAGGTGAGAACGTATTACCCCTTGCCTCCTACGTGCACCCATAAGTACATTCATTTCTCCGAAATGATCAATTGTGGCTACAGCCTAGCTTGTTTTCCAACACAGTGCGACGTACAAGTCGCCCCAAGATTGCTGTATTTTGCACAGCTGCAAATAAATTATCATATATGTCAATGGTGAAGAATACTTCCAAAAACGTTGTCTCCATGGCAATTGGAAAACATATTTCACCGAATATAATCGATTGGGACTTGTCTAAAGGGCAGCCCCTCCTAAAACAAATCATAAACACGGTAGAGATAGACATACACCCAAACATGATAACGGCGGGAGAGAAAGGACACTTCTATTCGATTACTCTTCTTAAAATGTTGGATGTAAAATGACTAATTTTCACTGGGTTTAAATTTCGTTGATTTACTGTTACAGGCATATTCAGTGGGTTTTAAATTCACGATTTTATAATTTAGATAATGTGTTCTATGCTAAATTTTACATATTCACTGGGTTTTAACTTTGCGCATTTCCAGTCAGCGAAATAAGCAAAATTAAAACCCAGTGAATATTTAACCCTTTTACAGTAATTTAACTTGCACTACCTAGCTGATGAACAAGTTTTGTCCGAATTATTTCCTTCTGCTTTTTATACCAAATGAATTGTTACATTACAGACCCAGAAACGCTTGCTGATGTTCTGGAATGGAAGGAACCAATATATGAAATGCAGAATGACATCATCGGATCTACACGTGTCTATTTGGACGGTGAACGGCAGCATTGTCGAACTCAAGAATGTAACCTTGGCAACCTGATCGCTGATGCAATGGTTCATCAAAACATGAAACACCCGGATGAGACTAAATGGGCTGACGTTACCATCGCTCTCATGAATAGTGGGGCGATTCGAAGTTCTATTAATGTAGACGAAACAGGATTTCGTAAGTGAATATTTTGGATTATTCTGAATATACAGGCTTTTCTAGTGCGACCGATTTAGTTCGCAGTATAATGTCGTGAGTAACGACATCCGGTTAGATTAGGTATTACGGTATACGGACCGACAAAGGGCATTGAAGAGTAACATATAACTTTTGACGACGTCAAAATGCTGATAATCATTTTGTCTACGAATGATTGGTTTATTGGTATGAACAGAATAAGCCTTTACAATATAATGTGTTGAAATGCGTTAACAATATTAAGATTTGTAATTACAAGAGTGTATGACCCGGCTCGAACGCCCTCAACAAATCCCCAAAATAACTTTATCGAGTCCACATGAGTCGTCAGACGACGCAGTTAACATAAAACTTACACGCAACCCGACTGTAATTAATGTCCTAATTATGTTACTTATGTCCAATACTGTATGCAACGCCCATATTTGATAAGTCTTGTATTACACATATTAATTACGCTAAGATATATAACTGGATTCTTAAAAGTAAGAGTATCGTTCGCTAGTGCATGACACCAACATACATGGTAGAAAACTTCCAAAATAACAAGCTCGCGTTACAAGACAACGTAATTAAAAACGTATGATCCTTGAAAAACCCAACTGTAATTCAATGTATAATATTCTGTCTTACCTTATTATTTTTGTTATGTTCACCAAGCATTCTCTTTTTTAATTTTGTTTACTTTAATTTTATTGATGAACTATACAATGTAAAAGATGTTTTCTAACATCTTACATTTCAGATAACAAAGAAAAGTTTCAGAGTTTCTGAGCTTCACGTAGATTGGTTATTTCATACCATGTGATCTCTCTAACAGATTCCATCACTGTCGGAGATGTGTTGAACGTTCTGCCGTACAGAGATACATTTGACCTATTGGAAATCAAGGGCAAGTCTTTACGTGAGGCTTTAGAACATTCCGTTTCCGAGATCATTCCCGAAGATCCTCATCCCAGATATTTCCAAATGTCGGGTACGTAATACAATCGAATTTCGTGCATATGCAAATGATTTCAGTGGGATTTGAACCACCGCGCATATATCTATTAAAGTCATCTACAAGTGAACGTAGTGAACATTATTGGAGAATAGAATGACCCAAATGCAGCCAACAACGTTTTTACGGCATATTCTGAATAGTATACAACATTTTTCAGAAGTAGTGCGTCGTAAATAATATTATACTCCATGATTTTTCCTGTATATTAGACTCCGCAATGAAGTGCCACATAAAGTTTGTGTAAACAGTCTTGAACAATGTTTTTTTTCCATTAAAAAGAAAATATCTCAGGCGTGACTGTTAGATATATTGAGTTTCTATTTTAGAAAAAAACCGCTATAATAATGTACCAAAGCACAAGTTGCTAGGGTTTTCATTCACTGCTCACACTCTCGAATTTGCGTTTCTACTGTCAGGACTGATCGTGACCTATGACATTGAACGGCCCGTTGGCGAACGTGTTGTCAAGGTGGAGGCGAAATGTACAGCTTGTAGAGTGCCAGAATTCCATCCCTTGGAAGATGAGGCTGTCTACAAACTTGTGTTACCAACATTCATAGCCAATGGTGGAGACGGGTACGATATGTTTGTAGACGACAGGATATCATATCACATTCCAGGTGGGTTTTTGAAACAATAGAATTGACTTTTCTGATAGTCAATGGGGGCGATGTTTACAAAGTGTTTGTAGACACAGACTATTCTCTCACCTCTCCGGCAATAGGGAGATGATTACGATAAGTTTTAGGCAACGGACTCTTACCAAGCGGATTGATTATTGATCAATCGTATATCCATTTTTTCACAGGCGATTTGGATACAGATGTTTTGATGGAGTACATCACGACAATGTCTCCAATTACTCTCGGATTGGAAAATAGAATCAACTATGTTGTTGGAGGTAACCCGTGTAACATATCTAGCACTGCGTCCTCCATGCAACAGTCATCGTCCGCAGAAAAGGGACTGAGAACGACATCTAAACGAGCAATAACGAGTGTGGCGTCTCCCCGACGAGATTCACGAGCCACACTGTTACATAACAAATTTGCATCGTTGCGTATTTCACGTGGTGTGTAAACCAGACGCCTTGAAGCAAATCAGAAAACTGCCGAAATCACGAACATTATATTCCGATGACATAACGTATTTTAATTTCAACGAAAACTCGAGCTTATAATCCTCGTTTGATATTGCTTTTAATTTGAATTCATTTAGTATATGCATGTATGATATTCAAGTTAGTTAATGGCTGATACTCTCTATCGTTGTATACAGTATTTTTATTCGAGTGTTCATATTGAAATGAGAACCATAGCTACATTGTCAGTTAGTTAATTCGTTTAGAATTATTCTATAATTATTATTATTATTCTCCATACTTTCCTCAAGGTATCACTTCTCCCACAATTTATTAAAACTCATCATAATCAAAAAAGATAAAAATTCCGTTCCAATTCTTTGCAAACTCGCAAGTGAGCTGTGTAACCCCGCAAGAAACGACCATTTCTAGCTTGTTTCACTTTCAAGTATCAAATAATCGTTTTGAAAAAAGTCTCAAAGCGACAGTTTCCCATGGCCATGTGACTTTACCAATACACAAATCAACATACACCTGTCTCACATCACTTTTCCAGCCCCATAGCAAAACAAAACACACACCAGACTCATATTAGCTGCCACGGCAATATAACTACCGATATGACAAGTGTAAAAATGTTATCAACATCTGGTTTACAGTGCATCAGGGTGTCAGTAAAAAGTATTGACATAGGTAATCATATGTGAATCTCACAGTGTTATGGGGAGAAGACGACACGGTCAAATAATGAGTTGTGAGTAGAGAAACAAGGACATTGAGCAGCATCAGTGTATTTGTCGCAATACATGACACATATTCAGTATACCCGCCTAGTGCAATCTTAGGGCAATGACTTATTAAATGACAGTTAATAAGTGAGTTATACAACCGCATAATTGTTAAATATGACAAAGTAAGTTTATAACTCGAAATGTTATTGAAATTAATATTATTGTTATTATTAACTTGTAAAAATAAAGTATAGTATGTGGCATACTTCCGTGAACGTTTTTAAAACAATTCACACGTGAAGCAATAACCTAAAAGTGTGAACGACTTCAAAACCGCCCTGTGCCGAAACTGTGGATATTTAGTTTTACCTCAGACAACTAAATACGAAGTTTTACTCGGGCACCAATTGTATGTAGCCTCCAATTTGATAGTATTATTATTAATTTTGCTTCCTTAAATTTCTTCTATTTACAACTACATTTAACGGTCATGTTTTATTGAATTGATAATGGAAAAAGCCAAGCTTGACCTGTATATCTCATGCTAATTTTGTGTTAACTCGGGATAGATCAAGAATCTTGCCAAGGACGGCTCAAAACTATAGTTTTTTTTAATTCGGGGTACAACTTAAAACCAGTAACGTGTTTCAGTATACATAGGACTTTCTGGTACCGTTAATCAACGTGTTAATCAAAATTAAACCGTGAAACTAAGAATCCATAGTTGACAAACATAGACAAACTCATATATCGCATTCATTGCCAAACCTGTTGTACATAGTTGATGATAAGATTCGAACAATGAAATATATATGTAGACTGTATAGGTGAACACTTACTCGGATACGTGGACACGTGTACTAAATGGATTGGTGGAGAACACTGACTAGATGATGACTACAAGCAGGTGTAAGCACTCGATCTATAAGAACTGTAACTATGTATGGAGGCTGCAGACTGATTGCTTGTAGCAGGTGTTTGTGTATATATAAACAGTCTTCTGATATTACATGTCCCGTGCATATATTGAAGCATAATATATGTTTAATTTAATTAATTAATTTATTTGAATATATTCCTTGCATCCCTGCGAATATATAGTTATATGCTTAGCCATGCGTTAACCAGAATACACACAAGAGGGTGAAAGTACGTTTTGTAATCGTTCCTTGAATTAGTGTATGAACTAGTGTATATAATAATCTCTTCTATTGCAACACTCATTTATACAATGTTGGTCACCTTACTGAAGTTATATGATTCATCACGTGCTAACCAGAACCCACACTAAAGAGAGAAAGTAAGTTTTGGAGTTATTATATTTTGGATTCTCCTGCGCAGACACATAAGGAATAATAATATAGGACAGTTATATGTATGGCAATGATATAAACAGGAGGATATTTATTTAATTGGTTATTAATTAGTTGAAGTTAAGTATGAGAACAAGGCATGTTTTACATATTTGACTATTATTTTCTTTTAAATTTTCACACTTTTATGTTATTAGCTCAACAGTGGTACAACATCTGATCTTGAATTATGTTTAGATATGATGAAAATATTTAAAACAAAAAATAATGTCGTAAAGTTTGAGTATATGTGTTTAATTTAACAGTTAGGTTATAAGCACATTTCACTAGCTACACAATACTACAATCTTAAACAATATATCTCCACGTTTACACTAGTAATAACAAAGGAAGTTGTCCAACGATGTTTACTAGTAGACTCCGTGTGTTTGTTACATGTTTACACTTATACCTACTGGGTTTACATCAACAAACATAACATCACAAGTTTGTGGGACACATGGACACAAATCCATACAACACTCCATATTCCCAGTCCCGGCGTTCACAATGTATTTACGCCTATTACGTTTATATACACTATTATAATAATAGAATAATATTAAATATGACCGATTTTTGACAGTCTAAACCATTGCCAAATAACAACATAGATACCTCAATACACCGTACTATTCAACGCATATTTCACAAATCGATCATTAGATAATTTATAATTAAAGAATGTATGCTACTGTGAATGCACCCCAACGTCTTCTCTCTAAACTCATCAATGTACTATTATCATGCAATGCAAGAAGTACAACAGTTATTAAAATGTACATGGCTATCATAAACTCGACTCAAAATATGGTAAGAAAACTGTATATACATATATAATAGTAGACACATCTATTACGTGAGAAAAGTAATTTAGTACGCGGGGAAAATAGGCTTGTATAAATTACACGGAGTAAAACTGACAATGAAATCAAAAAAACATACAAATATATTAAAAACACTGCCTTTAAAATTGTATTTAAATTGATCTTTAAATTACACGAGTCCAGATTGGAGGTTTTAGTTTTGAAAATATAAAAAATGTACAGCTTTCGTCAAGTTATAGTTTCACATCAGTTGGAAACTGTTGGCGAGAATTATTAATATATAATTAATTAAAATTATAATATTATCAAAAACAATCAGCTCAGGAACCCATTAGTTTGAGGATTCGGCACAAAAAATTGTTATTACGTAGTAACAATATTAGTATTCCCCCTGGACCATCTTCCGAGATTCACCACTGCGACAATTCAGAAAGCTTCAGGATTGTCCTCTGACATATATGAATTGGCTATTTTGCCGCCACATGTTATACGCGAACACACTGAAGTAGTAAGATACATGGATGTATGTGTGTGTGTGTGTGTATTGACAAATCCACTACCTGTATGTTTCTTTGTAACTATGGCAACTTTTATAAAACTACGGCGACCTTTACGTTAGTATACTGACCTTCAATACAGTAAGTGTGGGAGGTATTTAGTATGGGCCGTCTCATTGAACGCCATTGCATTTACATATGTAATCGTTGTAGTGGAAAGTGGTCAACATAGCACAGAGGTCGTGCAGCCGTCAACATGTATTCAATCACGGTGTTACTCTTGATCAGTGTGCCATTGAGTGTTGCCCTAGAACTGGTTATACTCCACACCAATGACTTTCATGCACGGTTTCCAGAAAGTAACAAGTATGGCGGGAGATGCTCTGACGAGGATAAACAGGAGGGTAAATGTTACGGCGGTGCGGCAAGATTCGTAACAAAAATCAATGAATTGAAAGAACAACACGATAATGTATTGGTCCTGGACGCTGGGGATCAGTTTCAGGGTACTCTGTGGTTTTATCATTACCGTGGTGATGCCGCTGCTCGCTTTATGCAGACTATAGGGTACGACGCGATGGTGAGTATTCTGTTTACGTTTAGCTTAAGCCCGGAGTGCATACACTGAATAGTCTTGAAACCACAACAGTTCACCATTGTTATGCAGACTGATTGTTAATTAACCCCAAACGGCTACGTTGCTTGCACGTCTCAAATAGACTTACCTAGATGACCGGTATTTGCATGGACACATAGTACACATCCATGAGTTTATTGTAGTATTAGATTCAATCATTTCGACAAAATTGCAGATCATTACACGATTTTACGCCCCAAGCCACTCCGCCCACCCTTATTCACCAAGACGCGCAGACAGCCACTTAAATTAAAAACATATTGTTGTTTTCATCGTATTCAAATATATTTTTTAATTAAAAAAAATTATTAGTGTAGTTTTAGAATAAAAGAATATATCTGAATATATCAGCGTCGTTAGACACGTTGTCAACTTGACAATACCTCATGTTGGTGATCTCAATGACCCTCAGAATGTCAAACAATGTAGTGCACTTCACTCTGTGCGAACCAATTGTGTGTTATGGTAAGGACAACATTCGTATTGTATTTCCTAGGAGACAGCGTATCAACCCTGTTGCACGTCGTGTTTACACGTCGTATTTACTTTGAATATCAAGACATTTTAAAGTGGAGGGCAGTCGGGAAATGGTGGAGTGGTTGAGTATTGGAGGAGCAATCGTGTTTTTTCATGGTTTCACTTATCAAACAAGAGATTGTACTCAATTTAAAAAAAGTTGCCCGATGAAAGAAATCAGTGACAGTGGGTCAATAGATCAGAAAAATAAGACGATGTTAATGATTGGTGCACCATGAACCAATGAACTTTAGTTCCATGATTAATCATAATAGTAATTTCATAAATTCCATTATTATAAATTATTAATTTGTTTACCTGCCTATATCGTTTCTTTGTTTAATAATATTTACACATTAAATATATCGCAGATGAACGGCGTTACACTGCCTAATCAACTTCATGAATACTCACAGCTGCATAAGTTGTACGTGAAAGATTCTAAAGCCGACCACCGACTTCGAATGCTTGTAGAACAATAGACGAGTTTCGAGTTGCTTAAAAATTTGGCAATTCTATAAATATATCAAAATCAAGAAACAAGCACGGACAAGGGCGTCAACTTTGTGTTCAGATGGTGTGACTATCCAGATAATAGTCCACACTGAATCATCGGCCCCTCGAATTGCATCACGTTCAGTGTTGTAACTTTAGTTTCCAAATGTTTGCAACCATTTTATAACATCTATGCTATGTTTATCCTAGGCACTTGGTAACCATGAATTTGACAACGGAATCGACGGACTTCTTTCATTTCTACGTCAAGTTAATTTTCCAGTTCTCAGCAGTAATATAGACGCAGATAACGAAGCCACAATGCAGGGACAGTTCGAAAAATCTACTGTTCTAACACTACCTAGTGGCGATCGGATAGGAATCGTTGGTTACACAACCCAGGACGCACCCACACTGTCTTCGACTGGTTAGTCTTTTACGATAACATTGTGAAAATAAATTCAGTTGCTTCAGGAAAAAATAATTATCGATTATGATATTATTATCACGGCATAAAACGAAAGGGCGTTTCATCCGATGTGTTTTCAGGCGTCCGAGCTCGCGGCACAGTGCGCTGGTGTATGCCTGGCCGTTGAGGCACGTAGTATAGTTTTCCCGATGTACTGCATATAACATAATCACCACTGATATGTCATAAGTGATTATATGATAGCAGAATTATTGAACGAGTGCGACAATTTTTATGCATTTACATAACGGTTCACCGTTTCAGGTTCACCGATTACCATACATACATACCACGTGACAATACTCACATTTATTATGTTTTTTTTCTTCAGAAAATCTAATCTTCAACCCTGAAGTGGAGTCAATTCGTGCTGAAGTAGAACGTTTGAAGACTCAGGGAGTTAATAAAATCATTGCACTGGGGCATGCTGGAATAAACAAAGATCTAGACATTGCTCGTATGGTTGACGGAATCGACATCGTAGTTGGTGGACATACCAATACATTCTTATATACAGGTAGAGTATTCCAGTCCCAAACAGACAGCTGGAGTGTTGACATCTGAAGAGTAAACACAAATGAAAAGTAACATAATAACGACACAGTTTCTGTTTTGTCTAGGTCGTTTCGTCATTATTTTAAAACGCTCCATTTCGCACTATGACGGAAGGAAATATTCAATATACAAATAAATAAATAAATTGTACAACCTATGCATATGAAGGGGTAGCACATTCAGTGGCCCTGCTCATCGAGGTAAATAGAGCAGACTTCAAGTCGATATAAAGTATTTTTTTTCTATCAGGTGACCCGCCATCAAACGAGGATCCTTATGACACCTATCCAATAGTCATACACCCAGGCGATGACGTCACACGTAATGTACTTGTTGTGCAGGATTATGCGTTTGGTAAATATCTTGGTTATCTACAAGTGACCTTTGACACCGAAGGTGACGTCACCGAGTGGAGTGGTAACCCAATTTTATTAGACGACAGTGTCGAACAAGGTGGGAATTTCCAATAATAATAACACAATGATATATTTGGTTCGTCATGAATGTGTTGTGCATAGTAGGTTGGAAACTACTGGAAACTATATTTTATTTTTCCTGCACCAGAAATGGCAAAGTCATTCCTTTTCCCCTTTTCTGTTTTTTAAACATTTGTTTCTCTGTACTTTAACCTGTACGATTTGTCCACAACATATTCTTTATGTAGACACCCCCCGAGAGTGTCCAATGATCAACCCTTAATCAGCATTTATTTTCAGATGCGGTGACCTTAGCGGAAATTGAAGAGTGGGCGGAGCCGATATTCAACATAACATCGGATATCATCGGGAAAACACATGTCTTCCTGGATGGGCAACGAGATCATTGTCGTCTGAAGGAATGTAACCTTGGCAACCTGATCGCTGACGCAATGGTTCATCAAAACATAAAACACCCGGATGAGACTAGATGGAACCACGTCAGCATTGCTCTCATGAATGGAGGAGGGATACGCGATTCTGTAGATGTGGCAGCCAATGGAGTCGGTGGGTGCTTTTTATTTCCGCTTTCATTGTACTATTTTTCTGATCTAAAATTCCTCATTAATATACATGTAGTTAAATTGATTTAGAGTCTAAACATTTACCAACACAATTAATTTTATGTATATACTAGTATTACCCAAATTAATTATCTATTTTTCGATGGCAGTGTTTTGTCTATGGCTGTAATCATGGGTTCCCGCCCAGCCTGAGAGACAAAGTGTCAAATGCTCGTTATTTCATTGTCTATACACATAATCTTGATACATATCTACGTTTCCCGATATACAAGGTATATTGACAGTAGGCGATATACTGAATATCCAGCCATTTAGGAATACTTTGGACTTAATAGACATTACTGGAGCCACACTAATCAAAGTATTAGAATGGTCTGTCTCCGACATTAATCCCGATGAGCCCAGCGGACGATTTTTACAAGTGTCTGGTAAGTAATATTTTCGCCCAAATCTCAGAAGGACTCTGGGAGAGTCTGTTAGAATAATGTAATTATCGTCTGTTGTTTCAAAATCAATATAAATCTTCTAGAAAATTAATTACAATAAATCCATGCATATTTAGCTATTTCCTTTCATTCTGGCGAATGTTCAAGTTCGTCATCAGTTCACATTTAAAACTCCTTTTCCATTTTAAGTTTGTATGATGTTTATGTACTTGTATAGTGTAATTGAAATTGTAACGTAAAGTCTATATATTTGATGTACTTTTTGCGAAAGTGGTTATTAATAACCCACTTTTTACAATTTTTTGTTGTTCTTTTCTTTCAGTTTAGTTTAGTTTAGTTTTTTCTACTAGTGTATCTTCTTTTTTTATTTCTGAATGTTTCTAACATGGAATGACAACCATGCTTTATTGTACTTAGATCTATGTCCATTTTTAGGATACGACTTCAATAAAGACTATTATTTTTATAAATAAAATATATAACCAACACTTCCCGAAAATTGCAATGAATAGGCTTACTTGAATTTGATCATTTTATTTCAATCGTGTCAATCTCTTTTGAAGGTTTGTTGGTGAACTATGACCTCGATGCACCAGTCGGTAGTCGTGTTAAAAGTTTAGAGGCCAAGTGCACAGAATGCAAAGTGCCAGAATTCATAGCGGTGGACCGGGACTCTGTATATACAATTATTGTACCAACGTTTATAGCCAATGGCGGAGACGGATACGACATGTTGGTTGATGAACGTATTAGGTATCACATTCCAGGTAAGAAACACGTGTTTTGATTGGATATGATTACTTTGTCCATATCAACATTTTTTTACCAGTTAATTATTTAAAAATTATTTGACAGGCAGGCTATGTTTAATATATAATGTGACGTAAAACTTCGTCGGAATATCCGACTTTTCGTAAATAAATCACGCTCGCAATTGCTGGAGCATCACGGAGACGAATGTCTACAGGAGATCATGGTTGGGGTTGTCGATTCTACACTAACTTCAGATATTTTCAAGTTTGCAGGCAGTATCTCCCAGCAAGAAATCTTAGATACGTGCGTTAGACCTATTTAAAATAAGCGTTTTGAAAATAATATTATATCAAAAATTATTATTGTAAGACTTATTGATTATTGATTTATTGACAGGTGACTTGGATAGTGATGTACTGATAGAATATATCGAATCGCAGTCACCGATCACTAAAGGGCTGGAACGCAGAATCACCTTTGGCGACCCATGCAACATTAGTTTAGCATCGCAATTGAAAGGGACGTTTCTTTCTGTGCCACTGTTTGTATTCCTTGTATTTTTATTTCGAGACTGAATGTGTTTTCAAAATTAAGATATAGTTATACTGACACAGTGATACAAAACTTTCTGAATTCCCGATTTTATACACCAATGTGAAGTCATTAAATATTCATTTGAATTCCATACATAAGTTATAGTGGTATACATAGTAACATACTTCTACACTTTATTACGCCAGCAGAAAAAAACGATCACCATGTAGATGTTATGCTGGTATGAATGTAAACTGGTTTTGATGATTTTATAAAATAAGCATATTATATTATACTATGACGTCAGATGTTGTCTCCAATGCTTAGTAGTATTGAGTGGTGAGGAATAATAGAAATTAAATCCCAGTGAAATAATAATATAACGTTCTCAATACAGTGGGTGTTATTGAGGGCGTTGTACAAATAACGCCCCGCTGTGCCTAGCTGCTTTAATACATGTACACGACTTCAAACGTGTTTTTATTCACCGCACTAGGGTCAATCTGCATAACACCCAATGTATAGGGAGTGACACGAAATATGTCTTACAAATGGTAGAACTTATCTCGGATCAGATGTTTAGCGACGCTGCGCTTTTCCAAATTATTATAGCACAAACATGAAATTGAGGCTAAAACACACAAATACTTGATACCCTGAAAAACTTTATTCAGTTTCAACTTTCAAGTATATAGAAAATATGGTGAATATCGGCAAATCAATCGCATTTATTTTATTATCACTTGTACGCCACCCAACTGCAGTATGGCTTTAACCACATGATTTTGTTATGATTTAATGACGGCATTCTCGCGGAAACAATGGTTGCGGTTTAAATTGTGGCCACGTCTTTGTGGTTTGTCATGCACAAGAAAGAGAAAAAGTGGATGAAACTGAGAATGCAAGTCTGGTCCATAGGTTTAGCATTGTCAATTATAATAAGTATGAATTGATATAATTTGATGGTTTTAATACAAACTAGGAAATTGGAACAAATAGATAAAAATAAAGTTACAGAAGTGACACTTGACAATGTTGTATTCTGTTTTAGAAAACTCCGTTCAATGTCATGATTTAGATGATCACCCGTTGTAACAGTTACGAACGCCAACAGAGGTACCCACAGCATGTACGTACACACCTCATCATCCAAACTTAAATTTGAAATTGATCGTCCTGCGAGAAAATCAAAATGCCGGTCTTATCTTGTCCAGCAGTTTGTCTCGTATATCACTATTAATATTACCGGCAAAATAAGCGTTTATTGTGGTCTGAAAACCACCTGTAGCTTGGGGATTCATATCTCTCCAAACGTTTAACAAAGTATCATCTCAAGTCCCGAAATTGTGTTTGAGGCAAATAATAGACGATATTATGGTTGAAAAATATACAATATTTGATTTACTATCAGGAATCACGCCGCACACCCATTTAATTTCACTATTTTGATGTTTTGACCAATGTCAACGGAATTCAATTTCACGAACTTTGCAGACAAACAATGAGTTCTTTTGTTATTTTACATGTTCACCTGGGTTTAACTCAACGGATTTTCAGTAAAAATAGCGAAATTATAAACCAGTACATCATTTATACAAATCGCGACCTCTAGTGACTCAACGCTTTCGTGGCGTCAAAATGAATAGAATAGAATATTGCTTTATTACAACGTTAAAGACAATGTGACAATTCTGACAATTTGGTTTCTACACATGTAGAAAGGAATAAAGCTAAACGTTTATGTGTGGTTCAGATCGACAATTGTGTTTGGTTGCGCAGTCATTTGTCTTCTAATAACAGATCAAAACAATATCGACGGGTTTGAAGACCTCAGTGTCACCTCTTTACTTCAGAGTGTAACATAAACAGTTCGCCATGACATGGTTGAAATGTGTCTCACATTTAAAAAAAATAATAAATATATCCTGTTTGTACATTTCCATAACTCATTGATAATATGTGGAATTTTGGTATTACAATGATGTTTCGACTAAAAACGTACTTTCTGATCTCAAAATGAACCCCATAATATTGGGATTATTTTGATATGATCATGTATACTACATGCACAAAATAGTAAAATTGAAGGTCAACCAAATGAATGAGATGAATAATATTTCGACTAAAAACTTACTTTCTGGTCCCAAAATTAACCAGCTGCATATTTGTGTGTGAATTTGTCTGTTGGTACGTGCATTTGTTAACAGTATTACGGGAATAAATGAAACGCATTTAAATAAAAATAAAAGTTTTAAGTCGCCATAAAAACAAACAAACAAACAAAACAACTATTTAGGCCAAGAAACTCACTCTGAAAATTGGCTGAATATGTTTATTGTTTTATGATGTATGAATTATTTTGCATTAGAAATTATTTAAAAATTGACCTACATTTCGAAGGGCTGCATAGTCTGAGTCAGCGTGAATCTGATGCTCGACGTTTAGTGTAGTATAGTTATCGATCTTTTATGTAAGTGTATCACATTAACATTACGACGGACTGTGGCAAATGCTAGGCAATATCTATGTTTCGATCGTTTTGGTGAAACCGATGCTGTGGAGGAGAGATTTAGCAAACACAAAAAACAGTGTGAACTGATGCTATAGTAGCTCGCCATGGAAAGTTCTTGTACCACATTTAGTTACTTATTCGATGCCAATCAGGTTCCAATGCCAACTTCATGATGACTTCCATCCAATCGGAAAAACGCAATAGAGCCACGTAGTGTTCTTTCAAATCGGAGTTTGTTTTATAACAGAAAGGAGAGGTATTTTTTTTTTATTTTAAACTGATGTACATATGTATTTGTTGAGAGCCGAAACTTACTGATGACTATTTTGAGTGCGACAAAGACACACATATCTTTCAAATCCGAGCACACATCTGTCTATCAAATCCAGGGTACCTATTTTTTAGTATAACAACAGACCAGGTATATTTTTGTTGGCATAAGACAAATATAAAAAGCAAAAAGCAGGGCCATGATTGTTTGTTAGATTGTTTACCACAATGGGTTACTCTGACTGACATTTATTATTGCACAGGAGAATATGATGCCAATGATGAACATATTATCAATATTACTACAATGATATCATACCATGGTTCCTTCCGTATAGAGCGCCCTCAATGCAGCAAAAGTGGATAGGCCAATCAAAATGGGACTAAAAGTATACATGTATATATAAATCTACAACCTACAAAGAATATATACTATAATTATGTATCTTTTTAATCATTGGTATTAGAAAATACATGAACGATGACAAATTCTAAGAACTTAATAGTTTCTTTATTTATCATTCGTTACAAGCCAGAGTGAGACACTTGCCAAAAAAAAAAAAAAAAAAATGAAATTCAGAAGAAGGGCTTGGTGTAAATTGTGTTTTGTAGACCTAGTATTATGGGAAAGTCAATACCTGTACTTAAAATACTAGTAGTATGTCCCGGTTTATGTTGACCTCTGAGTCTGCTTGACCCAAAAATAATTAAGGGGGCGTGGCTCAAAACTTGTTTAACTCAATGAAATTTGCAGCTTGAAATACAAGCCACTCACTGTTTCTTTACGTAAACTTTGTTCATTGTATATCTACATAAAATACAATAGTGAGTGCATCTCTCAGTAAAACACAGCCCTTCAGAGGAGATGTGAGTTAACCCACAGACTGTGGTTAACCCGGGAGTTACGCAATCCCAATAATTTCTGGAGGAGAGCAAACGCGAACAATCACTCACATTTTTATTCCGGTTCCGCCATATATATTTCTCATGCAAAGCTACGGAGCTACTCCGACCATGGATAAGTTAAAGAAAGTACTTAAAGGGGAAGAGGAAGACGAAGGAGACCAAAGTTTATATACACAGGTAAACGATAAAACACAGTATTTGTGATCCACGGTGTTATTACTCGCTATATCGTAGGACAGGAAGTAAATCGGCGTCCAGTTTACCGCCGTTAGCCTAGCGTATCAAAACATAATTCAGTTGTCATGTTATGGTTCCATCGACGTGTACTCACATACACACACGAGTTTACAGTTTTGTAATGATACCTGTACTCGTATTCAGCGAAATGTTTCGTTTCTGTACACAGCATGTGTTACATTGACGTTGTATTATTTCATGGGCCCGCCTAATGATTGTATACACTGTATTCGTATCGAGTACGGACGACCTGCTTAAAACGAGTGTAGCTAATAATAGTAGTAACTCCATGTGCACCATGGTTACGTAGACTATTATCAGTGATACGTCGACATGTTTTCTGGAACTCCTCGATGTATGTTATCGTATACTAGTATACACTTGTTGCTCTGTGACAATGTATTTGTCGTTTACCATCCATTCACGTGATTTCATCCACAGACAAATGTGAGTCATCACCGCATGTGACGTCATTATACTGTATTCATATTGCAAATGGATTTTACAATTTTAACCTTAAAATGAATTTTTTAAATGATTTCCGCTATTGTGACTGTTTTTCCAATCAACATAAACTTTACTAGCATTTTGTTTGCTCAATACCTACCGGTATGTTGAATTCTCGCGTAGATGCAGATAGTCCAACCTCATCGCCACTTTTGAACCACTCACAAGGATGGTCATAATATCACCCTGCGTCACTGAGTCACAGATTTTTATTTGCCTTATCTGTCATCAGTGTCTTTGCTTTCTTTCTCTTCCTCAACATTGTGTTAGTAAAATGGAGTTAGTAAAATAAAATAAAACGAAATAAAAAATGATTTTGAAGTATTGACTGACAATAATGCTGACAATCGACGTTAGCTAACAGCTGTTATATCTGAATTTTCAACAACAGAGTATACAGATAAGATGTTAAGTAAGCAGTATCAAATATAAACATTATGGAAATTTCCATAAAATGACTGTTGCAGTTATTTGTGTTAGCATTTGAAACACTGACTTGAGCAGCATCTTTCTGAAATTTTGTTCTTTTGAAAAGCTGGGATGATGTATAAAGATCTAAAGTAACCATTTTATCATTTTTTTTAAATCAAGAAAAAAATGCAAATTTTCTGGATGTTAGGCCATACCAGCAATGAAAAGACCTTTTTCTAGTAGTACTCTCACACATTCTTTACTGACAATTGTCATATAAAAACTCAACCATGCAATCATTACTATGGCTACCTGTCAATCACCTTGGCATAGTGATATGTAATCACATATTTTTAAAGGAAATACTTCATTCATTTCCATGACAACATATGTTTACATCTTTGAAATGACATGAAAAGCATGAGTTTCTGAAATTCCAATTCTTTAAATCTAAAAATTGTCATTTATTATATACATATTTTATATTATTTGTTTCTCTGGTGCAAGTTTTTGTGAAATTGAATTCTTTTAAACAGCAATTACCCCAGGTAGTATATAATGTAAGTATGTTTAACAACACATTTTGATCACTGTAATTTTATTTTAGTTTTCAGAAGCAACAACACTAAGTTGGTCTACAAGACTGAAAGGATTTGTCATTTGTTTTGTTCTTGGGATGGTTTTATCGTTCATAGTAAGTACTATTTTATGAATCTGACTTGCACTGTAAAGAGGGAAGTCAATGCAACAATGGTGTTAGGTGATTGCTTCCTTGTGTTAATATACATGTACATGTGCTATGTGTTAGCTCATCTGTTGAGGTGATTAATTGTATGATTGTCCATGGTAGCAATGATGTAAAATTAACCACCTTATTTTCCCCAGCATCTGCTGAGATGATTAAAGAAACATATGCGTGTACTAAAGAATAGTGATTGAGCCATGTTCAATATGGGTCCCATGCAGTCTAAGCCACAGTGACTCATTGATGCACAGAGATTTTTTGTGACACAACTAGTTATGCTCAATTCATGTCATTAGAAAAACGTATATTAATATCTTACTATATTAATACCTATAATATTATTACCTTGAAAAATATCAGTTTATAGTTCAGATATTTGCAATTTAGTGAAAGAATATTCACATATTATAAATGCAATAAGTGTGAAAAAAAAAGAAATCAGAGATCCTTGCATTCTTTTCTTTAAGACCTGTCTCTCTCCAGCAGCTGCAACGTTCTGATTTTTGGGATACCATTTTGACAAATAAATTTCCTTGTTTGTTTACTTGAAATCCTACTATCTTTATTTATTTTTTGTTCTTAAAGGCCACCGTCCCATTTCACAAATTACATAGAAAAATAAATACATTCTTTCCTGAGGTCATAGGTCTCCTCGTGTTAATACATTCTTGTCTCAGAATATGTGCTTTATGTACAAACATTGTTAGTTTTGGGATTATTTGGTCAGAGTTATTTGACATAATGGAATAAAATCATACTACATGATGACCACCACCTACCGGTATTAAAAATGTATTTGGTCAGAGCGTTGTTGCATAATCTGAAAGATGCCGTCTTCAAATTCTATATAACCAAACATTACTTCAAAAATCAAGCTTTGAGCACTAAAGAGTTCCACCAAAAATAGTTCAGACTTTACTCTGTAGTACCACTGTATATTCATAATGTCAGCATTTGAGAGCTTAATAAATATTAACATTTATAAATTCAATGTATTTGCAATCACCAATGTTCACAGTATGACATTTCACAAACTTTATCATCCTGAAGGCGTCTTATTTCAAGTCTTAATTTCTTGAAATACTTACTGAAAATATAGAAATTGTTGTTATAACGGTCTAAGCAATTTTTTCCACCACTCAAAAATTTTAGTTTTACTGCAACATTGTATAACTATAATTAATTCATTAACACATTCCCTGCTCAAAGTCTTCACAAATGTATAAAGGGTCGGTGGGCAATGTGTTAATAACATTAATCCAATGTATTGTTATCTCATTCTGTTTTGCTCATTTTTTTGCAGGGAGTTTTTGTTTTGTTTTTAGGTTCTACTGGTTTGGTTTTATTTTCTATCTTCTATACATTAGGCAACATAGTGGCCATGTTGAGGTAGGTTTCACTCTAAGATTCCTTCATGACAAAGTTCAAGTTTGCTGTATTCTCAAAATTCCTTTTTGTTGATCACATGGAATTTGGATCAAGGAGAATGAGATGCTATAGAAGCAGATACAATAACCAGTCAATATTACAACAACATTTGGCGTTACTTTCTGAAAACACACTCACTTGGAATCCGAATTAACAATAATTTCAATTTTAAGTCAATATTTCTCAGAACTACTAATTTATTCTTCTCAAACACCCCTGTGCCGATTGCACTGGTAGTCCTTTGTGGTGATCTCTTTTGTTTTGTGACAATATGTACAATGTTTTTCATTCTGCTGAACACTTTAATCTTTGCCCTCTATTACATATGCTTCATTCCATATGTATGTATTCATGTATGTTCATGATTTGATTAGTTTTTGTTAATCTATGAAAAATGTTATAATGGATTTTGTTAAAGAATGGTTGGTATACTGATGAAACATTTGACTTACAAGATATATACCGGTACAGAGTGTAATCAGACATTCATTTTGTACTATGCCCGCCATGCATGGTGTGTCTTGGCTTGTTTGGAAATTACATTCAACATTTGGCCTAGCAACTAATAAAAGTTCAATATTTGTAATTTTTGTTTTTCTGTTTTCTTGGCAGTACATGCTTTTTGATGGGTCCTCTTCGCCAACTTAAGAATATGTTTAGTGAAAAAAGAATTATTGCAACAATTGTTGTGATTATAACTTTTGTTCTTACGCTGTGTGCGGGACTTTGGGTAAGTATTGGGATTATTTCTTATTGGGAATATAACTTATCCATTATACATTCATACCTACAAATTCGCATTGTTTTCTAAATTACGTTGTGTGTTTGAGGTCACTCTGTGGGAAAATTGTAATTTCACCTATAAAGTGTATGATAAAACTTTTATGGACTGGATCTGTCTTTTGCTGCCCTTGGTCGTACGGCTTACACTCCCGCCACACGACTTCGGCCCGCAAAATCTGTATCCAGTCCATGAAAAATATTATGTAACATTATAGTCAGTGCATATCAAAATTACAATTGCCATTTTTATTTAAAAATTGAAGTTACTGAGTATTACGACTTCCCTTGTCAACTATGAAGTGTTCCATGAACTTTGAGTGCATATTTCTGCATCATTCAGTCTTCAGTTCTAAAGAAAATGATAAAGTCTGCTGATTTGCCCCCATAGCAAGTTCAAGTTGATTGACCTATGTATGATAGAGAAAACTCCATAAAATTGTGCTATTTTAGTCGTAATATTAGTATTTAGGCTCGTCATACACAACTCATCAAAATTTCAAGATCATTATTAAATAAGATCAATATCATTGGCATTGTCGTATACTAATCTTATTCTACTATATTATAAAACTCTGAAATATTTAAAAATAGAAAGTCTTGAGTTATAACAATTGATGCTAACCATTAAGTTATAATTATCATCAGTCAAATTACCATATTTACTGTATTAGAAGTGAATATAAATCAAAATTCACATTCGTTATATACTGAATCATTAAAATATTACTTATTTTGACCATAGAAACAACTCTGTAATTCGTGTAAATGTATGCACTACTAATAGAACATATATGGTAAGTTAATATAAAATCACTAAAACTTACAAATTTGATATTTTACTAGATTTAAATTATATTATTTATTCTTGATAATTACAGTGGGGTATTCCAGTCCTAGCATTGGTATTTTGTATTCTGCAGTTCTTAGCCTTGACTTGGTGAGTATCTAAATACTTATGAGCAATTTTTGTTCCTTGCATGTTTTTATTTTAAAATAATCATTAACATTGTGCATTTGCTTTTTCATGAAATTCAAATATTCCTTCCATCTTTGGCTCCACTGTTGACTTTGTCAAGCGGAGCTTATCTTCAACATTTTATTTTTTTGACTTCTTCTTGAAAACTACATGTGTTATTGCTTTGATACCTGAGGTGGGGGGGGGGTTACCTTGGGTTGACCTCTTTTTGATTTTTTCATTTCATGATGATATCTTTAATTCTCTAATTTTGATGAATATTTTTATTCTATTTGAATTCTGCGAGTTTGATATTATACATATGGGTACCTCAGGTGGACCTCTCTCAGTTTTGTTCATTTTGAGATGATATCTTCAATTCTCTAATTGAAATGTTCATTGCTAACAGTGGAGCTATCTCAGCAGAGAGTCTGCTTGTTCTGAATTGACGACAAAACAAAATGCTGTGACATGCACCTTATTAACTGGTCATTCAGTAACTAGAAACATAGATTTATTTTATGGGGTGGGATACATAGACAGAATACATAGAACAAATACTGCCATTGAGATCTGCCATTGTCCTTAAAAGACCATTAAAAGGAGAATTTGTATATCTTTTTGATTTGGTATTTGTAATTATTAACTAAACAAGATTTCTACATAATGTAGTCTTAGCGATTGTACAATTGTGAGATTGATTCTCAGAGCTGACTGTTTACTTAGTAGTATAAAACAAAATGCAGTCTGCCCTGTCTTCCAAACATTGCCATATTAGGTTTGGGAAACTGGTTTGCACATGTAATTTGCACCAAAAACAAAAATGTTAGAAGAGACAGACAAAACAAAACTTGTAGCGTCCTCTATAGTAAGATGTACTCCAACTGGTATTGTAAAATTCTTTATTTTCGCTGGAATTAATTTTCGCTGAAAAGACTTTGTGAGTGTTTTGTATGAAATTTATTTTCACTGATTTTTGATGAGTTGAATGTAAAATATTGGAAAAACAATATATTCGCTGGAATTTACTTTCAGTTAATATAGCAAAAATATTTTCCAAGCGAAAATAAAGTATATTACACTATTCATAATCATCATTGTTTTTTCCTCGCGCTTTTATTCAGTTTTACAAAAGGACAAAAATATGAGTGGGAAATCACATGAAAGTAGTAAAAACTATCAGACTGTATGTTGCATTCCGCTAGCTAAAAATTGCATTTTTTGAAAACCTCTGCATAGTCACACTACTTTCAATGTCTGAGGACCACCAATCGTATGGCTGTTATTTCATATAAAAATTTCTGACAAACAAATCATTTGCAATTTATATAGCGCCATCTATAGTTTGCTATGGTAACATCCACATTAGTCATCATTGTTGTATTAACCCATATTTCTACTAGAAAACAAATCATTAGCCATATATATAGCGCCCTCTATAGTTGGTTATGATAACATCCACCTCAAACTGGTCTTGTCCATAACTGTAATTTTAATACCAACATCATCGTAATGCAAACAAAATGTTATTAAGCGTATAATGCAATTAATTAAGTCATGTTTATTAACCATCCTGTGTTCTGATTTTTTTAATTTTAAAGGTATGCATTATCATACATCCCATTTGCTAGAGATGCAGTCAAGAAGTGCTTTGGTTCCTGTATGGCATAAGAAATGGACAGTGTGTAAAGAAATAAATCATATCATATCATATTATATAGTTGTACCACTTTAGTTCAAGTATCTCTGTGAATATTCTTATGGCAACAAAGAATAACTGAGACTTTCTTATCTTGTTATTGAGAAAATTCAGTGAGTTTAAGCAAAATAATTGCTTTTGAACTATTTGACCATGAAGTTTACTTTTGTGCAACTAAAACAGAATTTTAATTCATCTCTTTTGGCAATATACATGTTATGTTGACAAAAAATAACTTTACGAACACAGTTTTTGTCCCCTTCAAGCAAGGGTGATACCTGGATGGTTGGTGGATGGTTTACATGTATATGTATTACTCAGATTTGGTTGAATGCTTGTTACAAATACAAGTCTCAATATATTACATGTGTATGTAGATTTTTTTGTATAGTCTTTGCATGATTAATGGATGTTTAAGGAAATTTTACACAAAATTAGTGTATTTAGTAGTATGTGGCTACCTGATAAAGTTAATATTTTATAAAAAACACACACTTCAGTTTGTCTGGCCTTTCTGTGTGAAGAAATACATGAACGTTGGAAAATATTTAAAAATTTGTCTTTATTTTGAATCACTAGTTTTGCAACACAAAACAAACTTGAAATGGGAATCCCAAATTGTTGACAACATTTAAAAATACTGAAAGTCATTAAGAATTTAACATTAGTAAATTAATTTGTGCATATGCAGAATGCCAAATACTTCACATTGTCGCAGGATCTCAATAAATCTTATGCCAGATCTCATAGATTTGAAATAACTCGTGTGGGGATGCGGTTGAGTGAAATGTGCCTTTATTGAGTGGATCAATGTGCAAAATTTTATGCCTCTCTAGACAACTGTATTACTGTGGTCTAATCCCAGCTTATGTTTCTTGGTGGCAAGTGATAAAAACTTGGATATATATGTAATCTACATACCCTCTAGATAATTGGTTGTGAATTCAAATTAGGCAATTAGCAGAACTCCATTATTGCTGCAACATGGGACCTATAACTGACAGAAGGTGAAATTATTTTTTAAAAATTGGACATCATACTGTATTGTTCAGTTTAATATTTTAGTTTAATCAATATCTACTTATTTAATCTGTACATATTCTCACAGCACTTCATGGTTCATGTTTACTTGTCAGTCATATATATATATATATATATATATATATATATATATATATATTTATTTAAAAAAAATCGTGTATATATATATATATATTAACAAAAAAATGTCTCATCAGTCAGTCTTTGTGGCATATAAAATTCCTTAAATGTCCCCCAAGTTATAATGTTGAGCCATGTTGTTTGTTTGGAAGTGATAGCTTGTTTTAAAGATGAAATTAAAATGAAATATATATAATTTAGGACCCACTCCATTCTTCTAAGGATACTACATCATAAAGTTGTAGCTGTATATTCAAGAATGGTCGAAACAAATTCATGTTGGATCATTCAGTCGTTTGTGTGTTGGATATCCAAGTACAATACATTCGTCAATAACATAAACCCACCAATACCAATCTAGTGATAGTAGTGAGTGTTGTACTTTACTGCATTGTAATCAGTATATTTTTTTTTATGAATGATGTAATTACTCATTTAATCAAACAAGACATTCATTGAAGTTTTCACTTACTGCCTTGATCAGCTTTACAATTATTATATAGAATAGAATTATTTATGTTTTGGTAGTTTAAAGTGAGGGGGGGGAGTCATCTGCACATGCGTCAGATAGCCATAGCGTGTAATTGTTTACAAACAAGCGTCTACCCATGAGCCTTTGCATTTTTAGCGTGTGTTATCGTCACCTGGGACTCGATTCCCGCGTGTGCGCAGATGATGACTCTCCTGCTTTAGCAGGAAATTGATAAATAAATCAGTGTACACCATCAATAATCTTTACATTGAAATCACTTGAACTTGCATACAAGCTGTAATGGCTGGAATCTTTTTTGTTGCATAATAAAATAAATATGTATTACAGAAATGAATGTTAAAAAAGGTCATATGTGATATCAATGAGATCATTTGCAAAACCCTATTCATGATCATTGTTTGTATACAAGTCTGCATTATCTTATTTTTAATGAGAGTATGAAAAAATTAATGTCAGCCATGATATGATATGGTGATAACAAATTGTTCATCTTCTTTAAACTATCATAATAGTTTTTGTAATGTCGATATTGATTCTATATTTCAATGAATTTAATTGTGAATATATTGATTTTATTTTCAAATCCCACCCAAATATTCATCCAACTTTAATACCAGTAGAGCACACTATATTACCTAAGTTATGCGATCATTTTATTAATATATAAACACATTTTTATTGGTTGCTGTGGATACACAATTCTACATGGGAGCATATGTGAAATGTGAGTATGCCGATAATGGTATCTTGAGATCATAATGTGAAAAGACGCATATATATATAAAATTCAGAAGTTGTCAGTCAGTTTAGGTTTATTGTTGGAGTATATACCTTCTATTAACTTTGTGATATACAATATCGCTTAGCATAAAGTGTACAAGTGTTTATATAGTATCATACATGCACCATTCTTAGAATATCACTAATCTATGACATATCTCTTTAAAAAACATTTGGAAGCAAAAAAACTGCTGAATTAAACAGCTTTTATTTAGCAGTCAGCCAATGGAATGTTAGAAGACACTACTTTAGTGTTTGTAACTTTTGCGCTTATTGATGTTCTATGAATTTACTTATAAAATATTATGAAGATTATCTTAATATACTGTTCTTCCATTCTATGTTAGATGTGTAACTTATATTGTATTTTGCAGAAATAACTCTATTTTCACATTACTTTTTGTAATTATCTGCATTGGTGAATTGCATGATGGAAAAATAAAACAATTTCCTGAACCTTATATGTTTGTGTGTTATAATACAATGTTTTGATATAACAACCTATCCATCGACTGAAGGGTCAACTTCAGTGTAATAATCTTATGTGGGGAGTGTGAAGACACCAGTATAATACCATTTCAATCAACAACCAACCAATGATCAGACATGTAGTTCACGATATAATAGCTATTTATTAATAACGGGTTAATGAAAGCATCGTCTCGCAAGACAATCATAGCACAACCTACAGTCCCTCCACATACGTAACCTGTTTGACTTCAAAGACGCGCCTGGATTTATCCAATAGACCTTAGAATGAATTTCGGAATAACGACTTTTGAGAAGTGATTTGGCATACTAAAACATGCCAACGTTCTTGAAAATTATATGATTGAACTAAAAATACATACGATTGACAGATGTTTTATTTTTTCGATAACCGGATGATAATTATGACGTTCGACTGCAAGTCTGGTCAACAATTTCCGGTCTCGGATTACCAGTCAATTCGAAAATTTCAGAAAAAGTTTTTTTTTTTTTTGGGGGGGGGGTTGCCAAACTAAATGGTCTTGAAAATATTATGATACAAATAAAAAGTACAATAATTTGAACAGCAGATAAAAATACTGACACAAAACAAGTCGACGCAATCATTTCCGGTCCGGGTGATTTTCAGTAAGTTCTGAAATTTCGAACACAAACTAATACACGTCAATGTTTTAGAAAATACTAGTAGGATGATTTGAGTAATTATTGCAATAATTTGTGGAACAGATGTTCAATTTATACTCATGAAAAATTCCAGTCCATACTATAATAGGAGGGCAAGGGGGGGGGGGGGTAGCTGGTACAGTTTTACGGGAAATAAAAAGGGCTTTTTACAATTACAAGGAAAAAAAGACGTTTTTACAGTTTACAGTGAAAATTGAATGTTTACATTTTACAGAGAAAATAAAGGTTATTTTACGGAAAATTAAAAAAGAAAACCTAGAAAATTCTTGTACGTACCGGAAAAAATCATATATTTTCACAGTGGACGAACAAAATATTTGATTGATTACGTTGTACGTCTAGCCTGTGATTACAGAATTACGGAATTTATTTTTTCAATTTACGTTGTACGAAAAAATAAATATTGCATTTCCAGGTATAATACTGTCGCACCCTTTGCTGTTCATTATTCGAATTGTATGCACTCAAACAAAAGAAATGCAAATATCAACACAACCAGTGGCGGCGAATAAACATTGCAATACCTTGACTTTATTTTTGGGACTTATACGCACACATATTAAATTTGTGTTGTATAGATATGCAGCTACTACCTTGCCTCTCCCCAGAAAGTTGTGACACAATCTTGTCGGTATAACAATTACTACGTTCACGTTACGGGATCTCGGCACGTGCCGAAATTTTTAATCAGTTGTGTTTGCAGAGGGATTACAGCAGTTGTGTTCACGCATGGAGCTAAAAATGGTTCACGTTATTCAGGACCCACTTAGGACCGACTGGGCTCGTGCCGAAATCACGCTCTCATTCGTCGATCTGTTGGCCCAAACGATACGCATATGATGATAATAATAATTGTTATAGTGAAATTATATCCATTTGTTGCAATGGTGTTTATTACGAGCCATCGTGCACATGAACGGCAAAGAAGATTCGAAACATAATTATTTTTTTCACATCAATGTAAAATGTGCAAGAAAATAGAGGTTGTAGCAGCACATAAATATGCGTCGCTGATGACGGTTTACATTCATTACTACAGCATCCGACCATCTACTAGTATATCCGAATTTCTTGTCATCGTAATTTCATGCTAGTATCAATCAACTTATGTTTTTCTTAAATTTACCACCGAGGGCGTGATTTCGGCTCGTGCCGAGCGTTCAGGCAGCAAATCTCGGCACGTGCCGAGTTTCGGTCCCAAGCATCCATCGGGACCGAGATCGAGTTCTTTTCGGCACGTGCCGACTCGGTCCCGACCGTTCACACACAATTTTCGGCACGTGCCGACTCGGTCCCGAGTCTCAGCACATGCCGAGATCTCTAACGTGAACGCCACTAATGTGTGTAATATGTTGAAAGTTTAATTTAAACCCCTGTTCTAGTAACTTGTCGGGTTATATGCCGTGTGTGTTAGGGGCACGATTTGCACAAACTAGTAAATCGGCATAAAACCGTTGAATTATTTCGTTCCTGTCATCTGTTGTTTAACGAAGGCAACCAAATAAACCCATTTTATTTTAAAACGTGTCCCGAACGAGGCTAGTTTTGTTTGACTTGTACAAAATCGTGTACGTATAATGTGTGTTACACGTTGCGAATTGCTTAATATTTAAAAGCTATTGTGCCAGTAATTGCTTATACCATGCGTGTAAGAGCAGTTATTACACAATCTAGTAAATTAGTAAACAAATATAACTTCCCTATATCAGGCACTAATCAACATAGTATCACTTTACGGGACTAATATTTACATTTACTACAGCGATGTAACATGTATAATGTTGTGTTACACTGACCATCAATTGAACGGACGGGCGGACAGAAGGATTGACATTTAATGAATCACTAACATGAAGCCTAATATCGTGTATTGAAATTATAATCCCACTTTCCACGTTACATTCCGTTAATTCTAAAGTTAGGCACACATTGCCAATAGGGAGGTCAGAGCATTCCCTGCAATGCTCAATTTTACGATATATGAATAGTAAAACTGTATTATGGATTATTTCCAATATTATTTCAAATTGCATGCATAACTATAATATAACTATATATAGCTGGCCACCATAGTATTTAAGGCGGATATACATATCTATTTTTAACCGAGCTTCTGATCTATGCCAGATAAAAGCAGGTTAAACAGTCAATTGTGTCCTTGTAGATATTTTTCCACAGATTATTCGAGGTGATTTAAATCGACCTGCGACCCAAAATCGTAGTTTAGGCTATAAATGCCAGACATGCGCATTCAATCAATTGTTATGACCCCATGTCATAGTTTAATTTTATTCAACAACAATTCCTTGGTAGACCACCACTGCCACCAACCAATTTTGACCGTTGTCAATATAGTTCAACAAGGTATTGTGCCAATACATTCATATGAGGTAGGTTTCTTTATATGCTTACTAACACATACTTGAAGCTCCATACTTGAAGCGATGTGTTACTGCACAATACGAGGCATGGCGTTTGCATTGAACCTGGACCCAGTTAGTAACACGTTCATGAAAAATAGCCATTACTATATCACTAAAACGCGATTTGTGATTTTAGATTCACAATTTGATCTAACCCTATCAAAATCCAATAATATATTCTCAGGGTACAATTTCAATTCCAATTCTTGAGGGCCTGGAACGTTTTCAAATTACTTCGTTGCGCACTCTATTCGTTGATTGGCTGTTTAGATTCAACTGTCCTTGAACTTACGGGCATCGTAACAATGCTCTGAAATTCTCACAGTATACGTCACGATCCCCCAAACGTTGGCAGGACCAATCACAGACAGGAAAAGACAATAAATTTGCGGATTAACACCTCTGTTTTCCCCCACGCGAAAAAAATCGGTTCCGGTCCGTCTGTGAGAATACAGTACTATTTTTGTGACTCGGTCTTTTCAAAACTGCTATATAGTTTGTATTAATGTTGACGATACTATGGCGCATTTGTTTTGATCCAATTTTGTATTTGGTTTGAGTATTGTTGTGATTTTGCATGACGTGACGGCTTGTTGCATAATGAATGCAATTAATGATACATGTTTGCAGAGGGATTACAGCAGTTGCGTTCACGTTCGCCTGGGCCTATTTAGTTCGTACCGTAATCACGTCCTAATTCGTCGATTTTTTATTTGACCCAAACATGGCAGACGATATGCATTTGATAATAATTATTACTTTATCGAAATCATATTCATTTTCTTTTTTAGTATTTATTATGAGTCATCGTGCACATGATGTAGAATTTCACTATTGTCGTTTTACTTATTATTACACATGTTGCTCAGGTCCAGTAGATAAAACAATTCACTTAGAAGTTTACTTAATTAGATGAAAAATTAAATTTTGTATGTGTAACGCATTTCCTCAAAAATGTGCATCTCAAATACTAAATGCCATGTATTCATATAAATAAAGTTTGCCAAGGAAGTCTAATATATGAATGTTGATTGTCATATTGTAAAATCACCATGATTTGGCATTTAATCTAATTCGAGTGCATATGGACAACTGGGGAGGGAGATAGGTATAATTTGGCCATACAACCTCATTAATCATACACGTAACTGTAGAGATATGTATTTACTTTCGACTGGATGCATAGAGCCGGGAGTGCCACCGTTGGTGGTGCTATGCAGCTTCGAAATCTTCGGTGTCTCACGCAGATATCTTTTTAGTATAACTAGTAACTTCGCGATGAGTGGCTTTTGCAGTAACTGGTCTCTTTACCGGAGTTGAGAAATAATGTTTTATGTGGTTTTACAACTGGTGCTAATCTGGGAATACCATCTTAGGAGCTGTTAATTTGCCCTTATAATTTGTGCAGATGCTCTGGCAGGAGTTCCTAAATAAGACTCTTGATAATGCCCCTTAGTTTCTAACTTCGACCAAGAAACATTTGACCATTTACAGTTTGGGCTTTGCATAATGCATTCTTGTTATACTGCTCAGTAAAATACTGTAAGTAGTGATTTTACTGGTGTTGCAGCAGGATAATTGAATACTGTTTATTGAAATTAATAATTCCCAGAAAAAATTTATATTATAGATGAGAAATCATAAGAAACAATTGTATAACTCATTCTCAGTAATGAAATGAAGAAAATGGTATTAATTATTAATAATGTATTGCAATACAACCGATTAAAATTGAAGGAAATTATAATATAAAATATTCTATCAGGGCCACTTGTCGACAGGCGTATTTCGCAGTCAGTACGATTAAAGAAAATATTTGCTCACAATCTTATAAACTGGCTTGGCTACCAATAAGATATTAATGTGTATATATTTTAATACAAGTACACTCACAGAAATACACACGAAATATTAGATAATTCATTATATAATCTCGACAAAGAAAATCATTATTTGTCAAACTTATGGAAATCCCAATAAACTAGATTTAAAGTTCACAACAAGGACGTAAATTCAGTTTTATTAAAGACTCCCGGGGAACAAACATTCGTGATGTAATTCACTCTGATGAGAGAATAGTAAAGGGTAAATAAACATGCCGACAATAATGCAACATTTTATTTCCCGTCTTTGCCTGTTTTGGGGTCCATGAGTTTTTACTATATACTTATGGTAGTGAAATATGTTGTAATTTTTACCTACCTATTTAATTCTTTCGTTGAAAACATTTTTAGGCAGAAAAGTGGGAAACTTTCTTAGGGGAAATGCTTCGTAAATGTAAAGTTACACCAAAAATAAATGCAGTTCAAAAATTGCATACTTGACACCCTTTGCATTATTTGATTATAGATTCCAAGGGAACAAATATTAGTGTTGTAATTCACCTTGGAGGGGAATAGGCGACAAAGGTCAGAAACAAATTTGGGGGACTCCAAAAACGTTTTTAAACAATTTAATGCACGTGAATTTCACGACGAACGTTTCAATATTCTGGTTATCTGTGATGTGGCACTGGTGTCGAAAGCTGTCGAGGAAAATGGCGACAAAGGTCAAACGCATTGTTATGCTTATTTGATTCCCGGCATGATGGTTGACAAAGAAATGAAAGAATTTTCCCGGCGATAGCTACGTGCATTGGAACCAAAACGTTATCGTCAAGACTCAGAAGACGACAGTGACAGCTACCAAAACGTAATTGAAGGCAAATAAACACGTGAAGCATAAACGACTGTTTCGAGTCGTAGCATAGGGGACTATACCATTGTTGACTTTTGAGGGGAATGGAAACCAGTCAATTTGAGGGTGTAACAATAAGCGAGGGAGCAAATCGTTTTTATGCTATGAAAAAGTGAAGATCTTGAACGTACTTTATGTACTTTAGTACAATGTCATTTTTATTTGATTACCTAACGCTTTTATGTTCATGTGCTGCAAGTTACAGAGCACATACCTAAGCGGCCTCCCCTCAAGCCCAGGCATTTTCCGTGTCAAAATCGCGAAACTATCCGTTTTTACACAATCGGGGAAGTTCGAATTACTAAACGAAGTACAGGACGACGAAGCTGAAATATCCAAGAACCAACACATACCAAAAATTATATCTCAAAAGTGAATATTCGTGGTGTATTTTAAGTCTAACCGGACCGGATGTGGGAATTTGTTACTACTCTAAATATCCAAACATATTTTAGTATAAGGTAGTAAAAAGCGAACGGTCTTGTTAAATCCAGTAACAGTTTAAAATGATAAAAAGCGTGTAGAGTCTTATAATTACCACAATAGACAGGCTGCAATTCGAGCCGAAACTTTGTAGTTGTGGTGTTCTATGATCATCAATGCTTTAGATTTTTTTCGATAATCGGACGTTCAAATAATATTAAAGAAGTGTCCACATCATAACCTCATCATAGTTATTAGCATATTTGATCTGCATTGCGCATGCTTTACCTCGTTATCGTGTATATCACCACGCATGCGTTACCGTTATGCGTGACAGGTCAGTGAAACACGAAATCTGGGGAGGACATCCGGTTATTTCTCGACTTTCTAGTAATAAGTATGTATATATAAATAATTGAATACAAAATATCGATCTCTAACCAAGATGTCGATGATCTAACTATTGAATTTGTTTTTATGCAGATGGCTTCCAAGCAGAACCATGATATCAGATATGAAGTGATGACGTCAGAACACGTAGAAGAAGCATCCCATGTTTTATCTGAGGCCTTTCTGCGTGGAGATCCACTGTCCATAGTTGTCAATCATCCATACGAGGTTGAACTGTCATCAAACATCAATCTTTGCAAATACTGTGTACAAGAGGGAGTTTCCATGGTAGCTATAGATAATCGCACTGAAAAGGTCGTCGGAGCGATAAATGGACTGCTTTGCCATGGCAATGACATCGAACTTGAAAAGCCAGACCACCCAATGATAACTGCCGATATTGCGCCATATATAATACCAGCTATGAAGCCTTATATTTGGGCATTGGAGAAAAGCTTCTATGAATATCCTGACTTCAACAAAGATCGTGACTGCATGATATTAGTGAGTTGTAAGATAGGTGTTCGTGAAGATTATGGTGGTATAGGGATTGGCACCAGATTGGCTGAGTTGCGTGCTGATTTGTGTAGAGAAAAGGACATAAAGTTTATTTTGGTAACTTCAACTGGACCAATAAGTCAAAAGTTGTATTCGAAATTAGGGTATGAATACATCAGTGAAATTCCATACAAGGAATTCGAAATAGATGGTAAACAACCTTTTGCATCAATAACAGCATGTTCATCTTCAAAGTTATTTGTGGGGAAGTTGTAATTACTGTTGATAAACACGAAATAAAATTTAAATTACTACATAACATTTAACAGATAAATGGGTTCCCAAGTTTAGTAGAATTGTTAGTTTGTTAGGGGAACGCCACACTGGTAATAGCATCTCTCTTCTGCTGTTACTGAACGCTATTACTGAAAGTAGATGATATGATCTGCATTTGTCTAGAGCATTGTACAGGGAAGAAAAGGGCGGGGCAAAGTAAACATTATAACAAATTGGAGCACATTTCTTAATTTCGTAATGAGTTTGGTAGGAATGAAATGGCCTGTACCACACCAAGTCCCAAGGTTAAATATAGATTGTTAATACATTCACTCGCCTTATGGATATGTCTGAACACATAGCCGTATTGTTGGCAGCAAGATTTTTGGAAGCGTTTTCTTCATGGGATATTCTTAGCAACTCGACCAGGGTGTTCCATAAGACCATTCAGACTTACCACCAGTCATTACACACGCATTAGTCTTGGGACACTGTCCAAATGTGAAAACAAAGAAGTTAGATTGTGACAATTACAATTACAACTGAATCATATTCTTGTCATGATGAGCATTCATTTTTGTTCAACACAAGACACATGTTGTCTGATTTATACACATACAAATTAGGTAATTAACATATTGTCATCTTTCTTAGAAGTGGTGTAAATAAAAAAATGGATACAGAAAAATCAAGATAACTTTGACATGTAACTTTGATTAACCCTTCAACAGAACAGTTTCCGTTATGTACACAACTATTCCAAATGATATTTTTTCTAGTCGCTTACAAATACGTAGTAGTACTTAGTCGGATCATTATCAGTATGCTTAATTTATTAGTTAAAAACAAACAGTTTGAAAAATACAAATATTTTAACGTCACATACACATTATATTGATAATGTACTTTCTATCAACAATTCTCAATTTAGTGATTATGTTTTATAAAGTTGAACTTGAGATTAAAGAGACTAATAAAGAACCTACTTCTGCTTCATACTCTCTAGATTATATATTAATTAAGGCTTTTGAACTGCTTTTGATCGCCCTGAAGTCACACATTGCGAACTTTGTTTTTAAATAATCTTCTAATGAAAATGGTTCTAATCGTTTATAGTAGTTAGGTATGAGCGACAACACGCCGGGGAGGGGGCTAGGTGTTGCGGCGGAAATGTTGGGGTGGGGTGGGGGGTGCGTCCCCAAATCAAGCTGAAACCCTTTGTGTCAGCAAAATTTGCCCCTCAAAATGCAGGAAATAGCGTTTCAGAGGGATGGTGAGCAGATCTAGCCCCATGCAAAATTTCGTGCCACAGCCTCTGTTTGATTTATTTACTCGCTTATAGCTGAATAAATTAAGTTAAAAACACAAAAAAGTGGAGAAATTAAATGATCTGAATGTGTGGAGAACAGCAATGATATTTGAATTGAATAAACAGTTATTGTGTTGTCGCATCACATAAACTTCAAACCGTGATGTTTACATCTCTGTGAACATTTTAAATGTATCAACGTATATTTCGGTTAGACTGTAATACCCATCTTCCACTGTGTTTTTATAATTAAGCCTATATTCATCTTCAGCGTTTTCTGTTGGGGAATATGGAAAATATGATCAATGTGTACGTTTAGTGAAATAAATGTATGCTTTAGTGCAAAAATGTATGACATTTATTCAGCTGAACGATTTATATTTTCTACTGGTACAACTGAATGACTGGATATATCATACTGACGATGAATACTCGCCCTCTATGTAGGGATTTTCTGTGACGTCAGAGCCCGGCTTGCGCATGTCCGTATGGTCATTGCAGGTGCGCATACATTGCAAATTAGTTGGATGCGATAAGAAGCACGTTCGACGTCAAGTCTGTAGTAGTAAGTTGACTATCTCATTCTTTCTCACCGTTATTTAAAACAACATATTGGTCAAAAAGCGAACTAATTTGAGTTTTGTTCACATCCACTTCTAACCAGGGTTTGATACTAGAGCCTGCTAGAGTAGTATCGTTGGAATATGTTGTGGTAGCATACATTTTAAATAGCGAATGTATATTTGTCTGTTTGTACTACAGAGGAATAAAAACAAATTAGTAAAAACATGGCAATACGCCAGGTCACGTGATCTGTACTATACTAAAGCTTGCAATGTAGTTTCCAAAAATGACAATTTGCATAATGACATAATGCAATTTCCAAATATACTAATTTTTGTAGTCTTAATTATGAGAAGAAGGAAGGTATTTCCTGATATATGATTTGCTACATAAATTACATCGCCGTTTTATAAGAAATAATCAACTGAGCTAGAATATCCAAATAGCGTCTCAAACTGATTTCTATTTGCACTTGAATACAACATCTTATTTAATACACATAGAACAAGATGCGAAGTGTTTATTTTAACTATAAGCAAGCGATCCAATTTTTTCTCATGAGATATTTAGAATACCACAATTTTCTGATTTCTACTGGTACATACAACCAAAATATACACTAGTATGCAAGGGGTTGTGATATTTTTAGAAACCATGTACATTAGTCTGTGTTTTATTAAATTTACCAATTTTTTCAATCTCATTCCGAGATCGAATTATTGAGTTTTTTTTTAATACAGATGGCTTCTAAGCTGAATCATATCAGATATGAAATAATGACGTCAGAACACGTGGACGAAGCATCCCATGTTTTATCAGAGGCTTTTCTGCGTGGACATCTACTGTCTATTGCTGTAAATCAACCATACGAGGTTGAGCTGCCATCAAACATCAGTCTTTGCAAATACTGTGTACAAGAGGGAGTTTCAATGGTAGCTATAGATAATCGCATCGGAGAGGTCGTCGGAGTGATAACAGGACTTCTTTGCCATGGCAACGACATTGAACTTGAAAAGCCAGACCACCCAATGATAACTGATGATATTCTACCATATATCATGCCAGCTATGAAGCCTTATATTTGGGCATTGGAGAAAAACTTTTATGAATATCCCGGCTTCAACAAAGATCGTGACTGCATGATATTAGTGAGTTGTAAGATAGGTGTTCGTGAAGATTATGGTGGTATAGGGATTGGCACCAGATTGGCTGAGTTGCGTGCTGATTTGTGTAGAGAAAAGAGCATAAAGTTTATTCTGGCGTCTTCAACTGGAATAATCAGTCAAAGGTTGTATTCAAAATTAGGATATGAGTGCATTGGTGAAATTCCCTACAATGAATTTAAAATTGATGGTAAAAAACCATTCGCATCAATAACAGCATGTCCTTCTTCAAAGTTATTTGTGCTAGAGTTGTAATTACAGGAAATACAAATTAAAATCACTAACAGCCAACAGATGAATAAGGGTTCCCATTCCAAAGAGTGAAAATGAAAAACCTAAGGTGCCAACAAATGTTAAATCAAGTAGTCAATAACATTACCCTCTGTTATCACAAATTATAGTTCACGATTCATCACAGGTTAGTCAGTATTGTTTTTTCCACTTTATTCAAACTCTTTTGTGATAATTTCTATTTCTTTTTTTAGAATTGGCAACGACATATATCAAGAACCATATTTGTTTCATAATAATAACTACAATTTTACATCTAAATATTTTGGCAATAGCTATATACATGTATGTATTCCCGATATAGTGTAATATTTAACAAACAAACAAACGTGTATCTGCATCATTAGTGTTATAAATTAGTTGAAGACAACATAAATCTCAACTGTAGGGTCAATTGTAAGCATTGTAATTTCAAATAAAAAACCACCTTCTATAGTGACAAAAAGACTTGAAGGTTGTTAGTTATGTATCGCAAATTCTCAAAATAAATAGAAACTGATAGAAATTGCCAACGTTTACAGTCATTATATTCTGTATTCCTTCCCGGATACTCTATCTTATTATCTATGCATGCATGGCGCGTCATCAATATTATATATTGTAATTATATGAATTACCTGGATAGTATATTACACTATGTACTTATAGCCTGATCCACAATTTCTTTTTCATACCAAAAATGTAGATAGGTTTATTTTGTCCAGGTGATCCTGATTCTTAGCTCAGTTCATAATATGTCTGAGTCATTTGTGAATTTAGTCAAACTGGTATCAAAAGACGCAACTGTGATATCACTGAGCTTTGTACCCCACATGAGCGATTACAAGTCGAGAAATAAAAATAAAGTACGGATTAACAGCCTATCAGATGCAATAGAAAGTGCAAGACGTAGAAGCTTCAACCACAGCCCCCTTAGGATAATGTTGATAGTAGTTTTAATTTTGTCAACTGTAGAATGTTTTTTTTCTTGTATTAGCAGTACAGAAATTCGAATAGTTGTAGCATAAACTTGATGATGAAAACACTGTATACAAACCTGTTGATTTAAAGGTCCCATCCAAATAAAAGTGAAACCCAAAATGACAAAACATTCACCAACATTAGAGAATTAAAGATATATCATCACAAGTTAATATGAACAAATCTAAGAGAGGTCTGCCCAAAAGACACCACGTAACAATGCAATCGGACTTGCGGTTTTTAACAAGTAGGGGAAAACTTTTTACTGAAAATGACAAAAATATTCATCAAAATTAGACAAAAGAAGATGTCATCATGAAATGAACAAATCTGAGAAAGGTCTACCTGAGGTACCGATGTGTATTAAAGCATCCAGACGGTTTTTAACAAGAAGTCGAAAATATAACTTTTTACTTAAAATGGTTGCCCAAAGTACATTATACACCAAGAATCAAAGCAATAAGAATTGCAGTTTTCAAGAAGAAGTTGAAAAAGCGAAACGTTGACACAAACGATGGGCATCAACGGATAATAATAAGCTCCGCTGGACAAATGAATACAAACTTATGATACACAATGAAATATTACATCTAAACATTTTGAATAGGAAACACCGGTTAAAACTAGATGGGAACATTTCGACCAAACGAATCATAACTACATAACAATTACTATTCTTCAAATTCCCCAAATAATACTACATGTTCTGTACTAATCTCAATGAACCTTACAAAAAACACGAATTATTTAAAAGTACCTACCAGGACCACAGCTAAGCCGAAAAATTCTATGCAGATTTGGCGGTAAAAATACTTATGACTGGTCTTGGAGAGCATATTATTAAACAAATTTATTATCAGCAGTGTTAATATCTTCATTCGGCCTAAAAAAAAATGTTTATTTCAATCAAGATGCACTGAATAGTATATATGTTTCTTGTAAGTGGATTGATCTAGGCAAAAAATCAGGCGTAAATCTTAGCAACAAAAATGTGAAACAAACATGCAGCCTATTTTTAGAGGATATGGACCGCTGGGCAATACTCATTCAAGCTCACTTAGCTTGACTCTGCTAAAATGAGACGTTCGAATGCATGGTGGTGTTGGTTAACATATGATTTGGAGTATTGCCACTACAACAGGCACTATAACAGAAACAGGCATTATCAAGTCATCAATAATGTCATCTCATTGTATTCAGTAGTGTGAAAAACAGATCAACACTTGGTTCTTATCACAGCCAAAACCTGCACTCCTGCGTCTGCACTAGAGTTGTGGAACCAACAGTTGAGATTCTTAACTGCCAATATACAGTAGTGCTGATTGGATCTTTCTTTCCCTTGTTGTATTGCTGTCACAATGTAGCAATCTGTTACGAATTGACAGGGGAAACGCTAGCTTTTCATAAAACGCTCCCACTTAATGTTCATGTTAAATTTGGAAATATGGGGGTGTCCGGAATAACATGTGCTTCAACTCTCGGCAACCATTTGTTAATCATCCAGAGCTTTTTCTGTATTTGAGGATGGACAACAATGAAAAGAAATTGACAGACTGTTTGGATGCATTGGAATGTGGGTTGGCACCCTGAAGGTGTATTGTTACTAACAACTCATTCAGATGGATATACAGACATAAATTGTTGTGTAACCATTGTAAATGTACCTATTCACCCCTAAAAGCTGTAGATAGCTTTGCTTCATGATTCTTCCTTCTGAGGCTCATTGTATTACATTTTCGGAAAAATACTACCAGTGCAAGTCGCAGTGCTGCACAGCAAGTGGATAAAAGTGGTTTTGTAAACTAATCACTGGTTGGTAAAAGTGTTGAAGGAGATGCTTTCTTCTGTGGAATCAAGATTCTGCATTTTTTTAGATTCATATTAAATGCAAACAAGTTTTTCCACAATGTAATGTTTATGGGAATGGATTTCAATATGCATCTGGGCTTAGAACAGTACCAGAGTGGCATTTAAAGATCAGTGACCACACAATTTCGCTTTGCTACAGTCCTACTGCACGGCTCAGATAATTCATGAGCTTTGTGGGACTGACTTCATCCATGAGTCGCTTTGTGCCTCAGGTGACGCTTGAGTACCCCAGTTCAGTCAACAGCTAAGAGGATTTTCTATTAAGTGAGACTATCACCAGGCAATGATGCAAGTATGGATGGTGACTTCGGAGATTGATAGTCAAAGGTAAGCAAATCCATTGGAGCCATGTGTCTAACATTTTAGCAATTTTATTATGATGTGCAGTTTTTGTCAAATTTCATAAAACAATTTGTATTTTCAAAACAATTTCTGCTAAAATGTGACATTAAAAATAATCTTACATATAAAACAGTACAAATCAAATTCAGACAATATATATATCTATCTTTACAATACTACATACAACAATCAACTAGTAATTATAGAGTTGTTTACTTTCAATGCATGTATAATTCAGAGATAATAGTGGATTCACAGATTAGGCCAGTTAATAACTGGTCTGCTTTTTCAGGGTGGACAATAATGACAGCTAAACATATACACCCTAGAACTGGCTACGATACGGTTATAATGATTGCTAATTTATGACTAAATTATCAACCTTATTTACCAAAACCTGTGCATTCATTATGTTTTTAAAGCACTAACTATTATGAATTCTAATCATGCGATTAACAGTGAATATTTCTACTGATAAGTTATTAAATAACGAACATGAAACTTAAACAAAAACTATTCATTTTTTACTAGGTATATACATATAAAATGTAAAACTTGAATTGATTAATGCACGATTATTATGTAGGTAACCATTTCATGTAACAGCAGTTAAATACGGAGTGAAAAGTTTAGTGCCTCCTGTGCCTTAGGTCAACTTTAGAAGGCACCCTGACATAGTCCCGAGAATTTCTGCTCTCAACTTTTTTCTCTCTACTACTTTGCTCAGTTCTAGTATTTCTTGATGATTTAGTATCCCTCCAACTACCTTCATCACTTCTATGACTTTGAGCAGTCAAAGTTTGCTTTTCATCCCTCATAGATGTTCTAGCAATTCTCTCTTTAGGTGACAACCTGTCTCGCCTATCATGTTCAACTCGAAATTTGTTTGCATCATTTGAACTTTTGGTGTCTCTTCTAACTTGTTCAGCTCTAGATGATGTCCTTGTGTTCCTTCTATCTGTGTAAGTTCTGTATTTCAACTCGCCGAGTGGAGGCGATCGGGATCTATGGCCAAAGTGATTCTCATGCAGTTTTTCATCTCTTCTAGTTGCATTCACCCTTTCCCTGTTCCTCATCGCATCTTCTCTCCTTCTAAGTTGTGAATCTGAGTAATGTCTTGTGTGGCCAGACTCTCTTTGTCGTTCTAGCTTCCTTATTTCTTCCCTTCTAATTGTGTCCTTCCGTTCATCTTTATATTTTTTCTCAGTTAATATATTCCTCAAATCTTTGTGATCATCAGGTCTCCTTGGAACAGTCTGTTTCTTTGATTTGTTCTTGTATTTAGAACCATTTTCAGCATAACCATTTTGTCTACTGCTGTTCTTCGTAATCTCTTCTTCATCACTACTTAATATCTCTCCGTCTGATAACTCGTAACCTTTTGCCTCTTTCACTTCTCTAATCACTTTCACTTCCTTACTGTCCGAACACATACTATCTGTAACACAAGGATTCAAATCAACTTCACTGACACAATCACTGCCATAAGGATCAAGTTTATCTAGATTATCATGAGGGATCACTTCATCTTCGGTAAACTGCAATGATGAACCAGGAGTGTGTGGGGGAGCTTCACTAAAAACAGAATCATATTCTTCCGATGCTTTGAAATAAATAGATGATCCTGGAGTTGGAGGAGGATTATCACCAAAATCAAATTCATTGTCACTCCCTATAGGAGCACTAAGTTCAGGTATTTCCATTTCTACAGATGGGATACATTTGAGAGATTGTTTGGTTAAGCCATCATTGTCATTTGCACTATACTCTGTCGATTCTAAATTCCACTGTGGACTTGTACATTTGTCTGCCACATTCAGATTCTGGTCTGTTCTGTTAATATCCCGAAGAACATTCTTGGACAGATCATTAATATCTGTATAATCATTACAGCCTTTCACTTCCTGTTTAGACTCATCAATGACATCTAATTCTACTGCATTTGTCTTTCGTTGTTCATCATAATCTGCTAACTTATACAGATGTTCCACTGTTCTCGCATTACTTTGCAAAGTCACCTGATCTGCCTGATCAGCAAGATCGCAGTTGTTATCTTCTACTTTAATTTCATCCTGTTCTAGTTTTGTAGAAACTACATCAATAGAAGCAGATTTATCTTTTGTTGACAACTTGTCACTGGAGACTCTCCTTCTTTTTACAGGTTTTACATCTGAAGAGCGCTTCCTTTTCTTTAGAGTTGATTTGCTTTTGTCACTGATAGTGTTGCCTGATGATCCCGACTGCGTGAATGATTTATTGACATGATTAATACATTTTTTTGATGAACCTGCTTTTGAGGCTGATTTTGTACCACTACCAGAGTGCCCAGATGACACAATTTTTAAGGAAGAAGTAGTTGATGAACTCTTACCAGGTGTTTTAACTATCTTTGTATTGACAACCTTTTTATCTTTGTCACCACTTTTTCCTGACAGGTTTCTCTTTTTTAAATCAGTTTTCTTTTTATCTATTTTTACAGCACTTTCTTTTTTCGCTGAATTTAATGTACACAGGTTTTTTTCTCCTTCAATTTTGGTCTTTTTCTCAGCAATATTTTCATGATGGACCACATCTTTTTCAGTTTTATTGCTCTGGCTGATTTTGTGTGATTCATTATTGTCCTGTTCATTCTTTCCATCACAACCATCTAACCTTTGATTATTGACACTCAATGCATGTACCTTTACTGTAGGTGGCCCATGTTCTATCTTGTTACTGTGACACTCCAGTTGTTTTATCTTGGAATCATGACGACCCCTCTCTCCATTTACAGTAAGCAGTTCAGTATCTTCACTTGATTTATATTCTTTTTGTTTCCCAGAAATAAAAATATTGTGCTCTTTTCCACCAGTTCTATCAAGTTCAACTTCAGTATTGTCAGTATCTATTTGAATGCTCTCTTCAGTGTTACATTTATGTTTACTGGTTGCCATGAGAGCAGTGCTTTTTCTTTTTACATTTCCACTGCTTCGTCTTTTTTTCTTTATACTATTCACCTTAGTTACCGAGCTCTTTAATTTACTACGTGGAGTAATTTTCTTCTTTGAACTGCTATTTTTTTCTTCTGTTTTGCTGTTCTCACTTTTTGAGAATTTCTTTTCCTTATTGGAGATTTCTTGTCCACTTGATGAATGTCTTGCAATTTTCTCATTTGCTGAAACTGAACAAGATTCCTCAAAAGCATGAGAATCCATTTTACTTTCTTTTTCTATCAATTCAATCTTTTCTCCATTGTCACACCTTTGCATTTTGCTTCTGTCAGAATGATGGTGATGTTTTACTATTTTCTTAGATCCAGAATGTATACGAAGTTTACTTTTATGTGAGGCATGTGAATCTGCTTTTCTTTTTTTCTGATGTTCTCTATGTTTTGAATTTGAGTGATGGCTAGAATGTCTTCGTTTCTGTCCATGATCATCAAGATGACCCACAGTACTCTGAGTCAAGTGATTTTCTTGTTCAGATACATTATCATTCAATTCTATGCCATTGTGCAACTGTGCTTCATTATTATTGCACTGATAATGATTTAAGTACTCCTGTTCTTTTTTCACTTTACTTTGAACACACAAATATGTCTCATTTCCCGGGGTTTCAGCCAGAGTTGACTCTTCTTCTCTTCTATACGCTATCTTCATTAATCTGTTAGCTAGACTTGAGTTGTTACCAACGGTTTCATCATTGTTCACTTGCTTCAGCCCTAATTCTTGAACTTTATCTTGAGCATACTTTAGTCTGAAAGCAAAAATAGTGCAATTGAACATGTTTGTTATATTAAACTTTATTACATAACACACTGTTAATACTAAGTTGTATGTTTTCTGTGATTGTATTTTTGGTTCTAGTCTACACTCCACATTATTGTCCATATTCTTATACAATACTGTAGCTTCTATTCTGTACTTCATATTTATTTCTATAACTGTACTGTAGCTCCTAGTATATACTCAATGTAGTAGAGGTTTTTTGTCTTTGAAAATATCAAACTTACTTTTTTCCCACATTCTCTTAATATATAAAGCATGCATTCAACTAGAAAAAACAATTGTAGCGATGGTTTAAGAGGGCAATACATTTTGAATAAATCTGAGATACAGTGTGTTTTAAGTTTTTTGTGTTTTTTCATGCATAAGAAAACATTCGGTATTTGGGGTTAGTCGAGTGAGTTGATCTTGACTCCCAGCTGCTCCATGACGGTGATTTTTGGCATAGGTATTCTCTGATAGCTGCTAATGAAATCTGGCAAAGATAGTTTGTCTACCACTTTAACTTTAGAAAATATAACACAACTCTCCCCTTTGTGAACTTTGACACTGGGTATCATATTTCAAAACAAAATTGACGATGCTTTTAAAGAGTGTCATGAGATCAAAATTTAGGTCACGCAACAGTAAACAAACTAGAACATTGAATTCAAACCTTTTATAGTATCTCTATTTTTTTTAGAGATTGTTTTCACAACAATCATTTATGGATGGTTAAAAGTTGTGTTGTGGGCGGGTGGAGTGATACTTATAGCCATAGTGTAAGTATTCACAGTTTCCAATTGATCGCAGCACTTACATACTGCTAACTGTTTTCATTTTTTCAAGCTAAAAGTTTCTGAATTGTTCAATGATTTGGGTTGGATGTCGAAATCACACCTCTTATTTAATACCCTTACTGACAGCAGTCTCGGGATAGAGGGACTGTAGTTTATTCAGTAACTGTCATTTGTCGTTTTTTAAAAAAAATTATTCTCTGTTTTATTGATCACTATAGTTTGATGTTTAGAATGTCAAATTATGTTCTCTTTTTTATTTTGAATGCTTTTTTACTCAGACGATCGATGAAAAAAAACAGTGTAGTGACATGCCTAGTAATGCATAATAACGAGACAATTCTAAGGCGTCAAATTTGATTTTGATAAACTTGGCAATGATCGACTTACATGTAGGCATAGAGTTACATGGAAATAGAAGTCGATACTTTGACTGACTACCATATAAGTAATTGTGTAGTCAACCCAGTTGTAGTTATTTCTAACTTCATTCCAACTCGAATGTTGTTCAGTGCCAGTGTCCAGCAACAGCGTACAAATGTGGGTCGGTAACAGTAACGATCCTGGTGACCAGCTACGCCAGAAAGGACATATTTTGCATCTAACTCAACCCTATGCGACAAACTTGATAATATGTGTTCACTATGGTTCATTCTTCCTGGACGAAGTAAATAAGTGGCAATTTAGTCAAAGATGAGAAAACCGAACAAGAAATGTGCCTTATATACACGTATCGGCAATGCAAGCTGCCCAGCAAGTTCCCGTTCTTATGTAACAAGAGGAATTTCTGTATGCAAATGAGAAGCTAATAAGGAGCCTCGTTTTAAAATACACAAAAATAAAGTTGCTGTAGACTGAGTTTGAAATGCATTTTTTCACTTTGAAAAATATTTTATGCTTAGAAACATGAAAATTGATAATATTGATGTAGCAATGAATGATTTTAGCCGGGAAAATAGCCATTTCACAGACACTTTAATATCCATAATACATCACTGTACTGTACCTTCTAGTCTATACTCAACCTTAATATCCATATTATATCACTGTAGTGTAGTCTATAGTATACACGCAACGCTGGTGCAAAACACAGTGGCAGCAGCCCAGGAGGGGGGCCAGTTAAAAATCAAGCTGAAACCCTTTGTGTTATGTTAATGTATGTCAGTAAAATTTGCCCCTCTAAATGAAGGAAATAGCGTTTCAGAGGGTCTAGATTTAAAAATTTATTCCACGGGAACATGCCCCGGACCCCCAAGTATGTTCGTGCCAAAGTGAGGGATGGTGAGCAGATCTCAGCACCCCAATGCAAAATATTGTTCGCCACCTCTGTCACAGTACTGTAGTATTATATCTAATATAATTTTAATGAATTACATCTTACTTTTTTCTCAATCTATCAATTTCATAATCTTTTCTGTCCACTTCACCCTTTGCTGTTCTGTATAACAAGGAGATATTTCTCTTAAGTATTTCATTTTCTTCTGACAGGATTTTATTCTGGAGATATAAACATAAGAATAAAACAAAAACTCATCAGGGAACCGTACTTTTGTAAAATGTGTATAGACTTGTTCATGTTTTGCATGTGTATATGGAGTACCGTAGTACAGACAACCTGCGTACCAGTTTTATTAAATCTAAGTGGTTCTTGCGGTATCAAACATTTTTTTAAGTTATGCAAATTAAAAAATTGTTATGCATGGATTTCAACCTCATATTAACCAGCTTCGTAGCTTCCAATGCACCACTGTATGTATGCACAATGTTGAAATCTGAAAGGGGTTCTTGAGATATCAGTGAAAAAGCAGAAAACTATAAAGGATTGTTAAGATAATGGTAAAGCATACATACATACACACACGCAAACAATACACACATACAAGAAAATACATTTTTTTTGTTACCTGTTCACTAAAATATTTGTGTTCATTTGATAGGTGTTCCAATTTCTCCTTGCAGTCTGTATGTTCTTCTTTGAACTACAAAGAAAATAAACAATTATACAAGTTATGATTATTAATTTCAGTAGATGCCTTACCTACATTGTGTATTAAAAATTGTTTTAAACAACTAAATTATTTAATGTGTAAAATGGGCGTTTTTCTTTATCATAATAACAATAATGGTATATTTACTCAACAACAAGGGAAACAAAACATCACAAACAAACAACACAACTAGACCATTCAAGCGCACATAACAAAAACTTTTCAATCATTTTTTCAATTATGGTTTGCTAGGAAATATATGCAATATTTAATTTAAGTTTTTATGAATGAATATTTTAGCACACACAAACGATTTTGAAAACGAAAAAAAATATGCCAACTGTTTGGCAGTAAAAATACTGTTCAATTTTTTGTAAGAAAGCAAGATTTAGGCTACATAAGGAAAATAACTGCAATATTATATGCATAGAAAATACTGGCTAAAATTAAGGTGGAAACAATTCTGACCAAAAATGAACACCATAATTCAACATAAATAACATGAAATAATTAAAAAAACTTTAGCCCCTATCTTGAAAATCGCATGTGCTAATCACACCAAAATTGAACTTGGTTGACATTCCAAAGTGATCGATAAGATTCTTAATGTTTGAAGATGATCAGATAAAAATTGGTTGAGATATTTTAACAACAAGACGAATACAATATTATGTGAAATTTGATGAATGTGTTGAAAATATACATAGAACATAATCAAACTTGGCCAAGATTACAAACTGATAAATATTCAAGTTTGAAGGGAACTGGATACAAATTGTGAGTTATTGTAACCACAAGAGCAAGTTATATAATGAGTCAACCAAAAAGACATTTTCTCATCATCATGTGTACACCTTAATTTCATCCACGATGATACAAACAAGAGAAAAATTTATTATAATTGATGTTATGTATTAAATGACCACTTTTAAAACTTCCTGGTTTGACCATTATTAACCAATACACTTTTGTTTTTCTGGATGATGTACAATTGAAGTTTCAGGAACTAATGACCACTTTGTCAAATTTCATGCATAGGATGTTACCGTACATATATTGCAATAATTTTGTGCATGTTTTGTACTTATTATTAAAGGGGAACTAAATAGAGCCTATTTTGGTGTTTGTATTTATCAAGTTATGTATATTGATTATAAATTTGAAAAAAAAAAATTAAAAAAATGATTATCTTCAGAGTTATGATGATTTAAATATGAGAAACCATAAACCTGCGAAGGACTTCCGTTCGTTTGCGCCATCTTGCCATAAAAAAACGCCCTCATGTGGTATAAACAGGTAAGGTAACAAAGCATGATGACGAAATAGTATCTGATTAAATATAAGCAACTTAGGGAGCCATAGCTGGCTGGACTGGTGAATTGACTTCTAGTCTAGATTGCTTCGACTTTTACGTTAATGTTATTTACAAGCATATCAACATACAAACATTATGGATGTGCGATTGATCAAGACAGGCATTTTGTTTTGTTTTTTGTCTAACTGTCTAATAAATGCTGTTTCCAGTACTGCACT